TTTATTACATCTCCGACTGGTTTCCGGAGGAGCGGGCCTTTGTGGCGTCTGCACCAGTGCTGAGACACGGGCATACGATAAGGGGTAGTCGAAAGACTCGGGGTGTCCATGTCATTGGGCCGGACCTGGGGACGTCTCGTGGTTCGTGGAGTCTCCTTCCTCCCTCCACTCATCTTTGTGCTGATCGTCGCTTTTCTGGCTCCTCCCTTCGCATCAGGTGAGGAACACTCATATTCGTGCAAAAAAAAGGTGGCTGATATATACTATTTGAGCTGGTGCTATGTCTTGGTTGTGGATATATGCCTTCTCTGCATGTCTTGACACATGGGTTTTGATTGGGGTGGCAATAAGCTGTTTGGTGGATGTGCGTGGAACATATGTTGCCGTTGGTAGTTGGGGGGAAGTCGAGTTTTGTGAAGTGTTTTTAAAAAACAGTTATAAACATATATCACATGCCTTGGAGTGTGTGGGGAGTCAGTTTTTGGAGGTTTTAAAACAGAGGTGCATGGTTGTCTGTCATGAGTGCTTCGATTGTGTGTTCCTGCATTCTAAAAACCATAGCTTTCCAATAGGCTTGAGCAGGGAAACTATCCTTTTGGGGAATTGGTGGTAAGAGAGGACATGGGATACAGCAAGTCTGATGATTTCTTATGACTTCTCTTCTTCCCAACCTCTCTCCCCGCTGCACAACCCAGCTGTACAACCTTTTTCCAGGAATTATGGATAAGATCCCTGGGATGCACTACAAGATGGCAAAGAGCAGCTTGAAGATTGTGGACTTCATTAACGAGAGGATCAAGATTAATATGGCCTCGTTTGATACCTCTGCTCCCCAGAATTACATTGAGTGTTTCTTAGCGAAGATGGAGCAGGTAAAGACTCAGCCTACCAATTCATAAGACATAAGGATCTGCTTTATTATGCATGCTTGTTAAGGCCCCCTTCATTTCAAAAGTGCTGAGAAGCAGCAGCTTGTTTCCTGTCCCAATTGGTGTTACCAAATCAAGACAACCTTAGACACCAGGATTTTAGGATTTTGGAATAGGTCTTGGTGATGCTACCTGGCCAGTCCTGGTGATATTATTCAGCATGGCATATTAAGCACAAACTTAATATGAACAAATTATGGCATTCAAGTTGAAATGCACCAATGTGGAAAACAGGTATGTACACACCCAATCTTTCCAAAGCAGAACTATCATGCTGAGATTCCTCTCCTTCTCCTTGAAGATCAGAGAAGACTGGCCAGGCCTTGAAACTTGACAGCACTATACTGTGTCCACAACAGATACCGAACTTACCATAGAAACAGGGAAATTGTAGATAATAGAAATGTGAAGATATTTAGCCTATTTTAATTTTGCTCCCTTGCTGCTGCCAAGTCATGTAGGCCTGGTATAGAGTCACTCTTGGGTCACCTACAAAACTCCTAGAGATGTATCCTTCTAGGAATTTGCTAGGTCCTTAAGGAACCTTAAAGGTGATGCTATGGCAACTTCCAATGGCTTTTGTAGAATTTCCTAGAGGACCTAAACATTCCTATTTCATATCTCATCAGATGTAGGTAGATTCCAAAGATATGGAGATCATATGGCACACTGTAATCAGAAAGAGAGTTGCCACAGATAAATCCATCACGGACTTTATCATGTTGAGTTCTTCCATACGATTTATGAGTATTTGTTTTCCTTGTTTTTATGTTGCACTATCTTGATGGATTGGACTCCTTATTTACCAAAGGTCTAACAATGGAATATACGGTGGAAGGTTTTTTTTTTGTGGGGGGGGGGGGGGGGGGGGGGGGGGGGGGGGCACATTAGTTATCCAGCGACCTTGGAAAGTTGCCACCCTTTTCCAATTTTTTTTTTATTAATTGTAGATCCAGGAGAGCCCTTTAAAAATCCTAGCATGGACTTTTACACTTCAACATGTCTTCACCAATGGTCACTAATGTGACCAATGGTGAAGGTAACGGCACTCCATGTAGTCATGCCGGCCTCATGACCTTGGAGGTGTCTACGGAAAACACTGGCTCTTCGGCTTAGAAATGGAGATGAGCACCACCCCCAGAGTCAGACACGACTGGACTTAATGTCAGAGGAAAACCTTTACCTTTATCTTTACTAGGTATTATCTAGGTCCTCTAGTGTAACTCTATAGTATCCTCAGTCTGAAAATCCTTTATTTCAATAAGGTTTTCTATTATATCTGGTTTTGGATATCTGCATGAAGTTCAGAAATGTATCCCCTACAGATATGAGGGCTGTGATTTTTTAAAATAAAAAGATGTGAGAGAAAGCTTCTGGTTTGATGTGAGTTTTTTGGGCTGTATGGCCATGTTCCAGTAGCATTATCTCCTGACGTTTTGCCTACATCTGTGGCTGGCATCTTCAGAGGTTCTGTTGGAAGTGAAGCAAGTGGACTGAATTTATATATATAATTTGTGGAATGTCTAGTGTGGAAGAAAGAGCCCTCGTCTGTTTAAAGAAAGTATGAAGGTTTGCATTGCAAAGTCAATCAGTGAGGTTAGCGGCGTAGAGGTAGCCTGGCCTTTGTTGCCTAGGGGCACCCTCTGTTGGGGGTGGGGTGTTAGCAGGCCCTTGATTGCTTACTGTCTGGAGTTCTCCTGTTTCTGAGTGGTGTTCCTTATTTACTGTTTTGATTCTGGTGTTTTTTTTTTAATACTGGTAACCAGATTTTGTTCATTTTCATGGTTTTCTTCTTTTTGTTGAAATTGTTCACAAGTTTGTGGATTTATTTATTTATTTATTTGCTAGATTTATATACCACCCCTCTCAGCCCACAGGTGACTCAGGATGGTTTACAGTCGGCATCAAAACCATAAAATGCAATTAAAACATTAATATAAATATAAAACCAAGTAAAAACAATGTATTGTCGAAGGCTTTCATGGCCGTAATCACTGGGTTGTAGGTTTTTTGGGGCTATATGGCCATGTTCTAGAGGGCTATATGGCCATCTCTAGAACATGGCCATATAGCCCCAAAAAACCTACAACAACCCAAGTAAAAACAATATCAATTAAAAACATGTTTCATTAGAGTCTCCTTGTTAAAAGCAATTGCTTCTCTGTGTAATCTGACATAATGGTTGTCAGAGTGGTCCAGAATTTCTGTGTTCTCAGATAATATTTTGTGTCCAGGTTGCTTTATCAAGTGCTCTACTATAGCTGATTTCTCAGGATGAATTAGTCTGCAGTGCCTTTTGTCTTCCTTGATTCATGTTTGGGCAATGCTGCTGTGTTTGGTGGTCCCTATGTAGACTTGTACACAACTGCACGATAAACGGTAGACACCTGTAGAGGTGAGAGGATCCCACTTGATCTTTGTTGAATTTTCTTGGTGGGTCTGTAGATTGTTTGTAGGTTTTGTTTCTTCATCAGTTTCCCTATGCGGTCAGTGGTTCCCTTGATGTATGATAAGAACACTTTTCCTCTAGTTAGGTCTTTGTCTTTATTCATGTGGCTTGTTCTTGGCCTTGCAGCTCTTTTGATGTTTATTGTAGAAAACCCGTTAGCTTATAAAGCCTGGTTTAGGTGGTTCCGTTCATCTTGGAGGAAATGGGGTTCACAGATACTTTTTGTACAGACTACCAGGGCTTTAATTGTGCTCCTTTTTGGACCTGGATGATGGTTGGAGTTTTTATGTAAGTATCTATCAGTGTGCATAGGTTTTCTATAAACAGTGTGGCCAAATTGTTGATTTGATTTGGTTTGCGGATGACTATGACACCTAGAAATTGTAGTTTTCCTTCGTTTTCTTTGTCCATGGTAAATTAGATGTTTGGGTGGGATCCAGGAACTTGTTTAGTGCTTCTACTCTATGGCTCGAAATGGTGAACATATCATCCACATATCAGAACCACATGGTGGACTTTATTGGTTCGGTTTCCAGGGCTTGTTTCTCAAAGTGTTTTATCTAAAAATTTGCTATAAGAGGGCTAAGAGGGCTTCCCATGGTGACTTCATTTTTCGGTTCATAGAGTTCAGCCTGAAAAACTCACAGCAACGCAGTGATTTCTAGCCTTTATAGCTAAGCAAATCAGAATAAATCTCAGACAAGCAGGGGAGGGAGGGATGGAGAGAGAATTTGGGGCTGCATTTCACAAGTTCCTTAATCTGGGTCAGGAGGAGCAACATGTGTTTGTGAGCCACCAGAAATGAATACGAAGCCTGAGAGTTCCCATTTTCACCTTGATTTTTGCCAGGAGAAGCACAACCCAAGTTCTGAATTTTCCACCAAAAATTTGAACATGACCATATTCAATATACTCTTTGCTGGGATTGAGACAGTCAGTGTCACCCTGAGATATGGTCTTCTCTTCCTGCTGAAGTATCCCCAGATTCAAGGTACGGTCCCACACCAACTCTGTTTGAGGGACTTTGGAAATTGTGATATGATTGATGAGGGATTTTGAAATTCTGAGTGCTCTATTTTGTGTGGAAAGGCTTCCAGAATGAAAGAGTAGAAGGATGAAGAGGATGTTTGTGCATCAACTGGTGCTAGGATTGCCAGGATTTCAAAACAGCAATCAGGGACAGTTCAAATCTGTGGCATGCACCTCCAAATAAAGTGGAAGGGACACTAACTTGGTTGAGCACCCAACCTTTCAGAGAGATGGAAACATGGCATACCTTCAGGGATATATACCATACGCTCTTTAATCCTTCTTTGCCTCTTTTGTCATGTGGTTGCTGCCTTCTACATGGTGGTTTCCAAAATCGAAATGTCTTAAGTCATAAAACATTTCACTTTTTCAGGAGAACACATGCAAATCCAGAAGGTTCGAACCAGAGACCCTTCTACGCTATGCAAATATATTCCCATGGTTCCATTTTTAAATTGTTGAGTTTGTAGCTGTGTAGTGCCTCAGAGCAATATGGCTGTCAATTACACTGGCTGCTCTCTCCACTGCAAATCTACAGATTCCCTAAGCTGTTGCCATGGCAGTTAAACCAGACTCACAGTACGACATGCGGGGGACAAGGGAGTGGGCCTTCTCTGTGGTGGCTCGTGGCTTTGGAATTAGCTACTCGGTGAGATTAGACAAGCACCCACCCTGACAGCCTTCAGGAAGAGTTTAAAAACCTAGCTGTTTCGGTGTGCTGTTGATGAATGAATACAATCCCCACATCAAGGCCAGCTTAGCACAATATGCCTGGCAATGCACTATATCTCATCCCCCAACAGGCATTACCATACTCATTCATTGCACCCAGGGTTTGTTTGTGTGTGTGTGTGTGTGTGTGTGTGTGTATATATATATATATATAATTTTATTCTACCTCCTTTTTCTTCTATTTGTTTCCTGTATTTTTTGTGTTAATTTGTCTGTTTACTTTTCATTTGATGTTATTATTGGCTGTATGTATTTGATTTGATTTGTTGTGATTCTTCAGGTTTGGTCCCATGTTAGCTGCCCTAAGGGCAGATGGGGAGATGGCAGGGTATAAATAACGTTTTTATTATTATTTTACTCACCCAAAACCACAGTATGTCACAGCAAACGAGATCTATATGCTGGATTTTGTATCACAAAATCACAAGTCGAACACTTCCCAAGCGTCTAGGACTGTGTGATTTATTATTATTATTATTATTATTATTATTATTATTATTATTGACTGTACAGTGTGAAAGTTCTCTGGTTTGTCCTGCTTTGGTTTTGTATAAGAATGTTAAGAAAGAACTGAAAATATGGTAACCTGATTTTGGCATCTTAATCTCCATTATTACTTCTTCAAGAAAAAGTCCACAAGGAAATCGATGTCGTGATAGGACAAGGGAGAAGTCCAACTGTCAAGGACAGGAATCAAATGCCATATACCGAGGCTGTATTGAATGAGATTCAGAGGATGGCTGATGTGGTACCCATGAATCTGCCACACCTTGTAACTCAAGACACCCACTTCAAAGGTTATGTGATCCCTAAGGTAAGATTCCTAGAAAGATTACCATCTGGAATGGAGGTAAAAGGATGTGTCTTCAAGTTGCATAAACTGTCTTTCCACAACCTGGTACTTATCTCAATCTTTTCCACACTTTTCTTTCTCCCTTCCTTTCCGTTCTTGACCCCTCTACCTTCTCCCCGTCTCCTTTTAAAACGTGACTGTGCTTATTAGGGCTGGGCGGTTTCGTTCGTTAATTTTGTAATTCGTTAATTATTCGTTATTTTTAACATTTACAAAACGATTACAAAACTTATTTTCAAACCCGGAAGTGTTTTTAAATATCGAAACGGCATCCTCCATCTTTTTTACGAGCTTCCGCCCGTTTCGGAAATGAGGTTTAAGGATGGAGGATGCTGGGTGCGCCGGGAGCCAATCCGGCGCTCCCAAGCACCGTGTTTCCCTCCCCGGTAGCAAGCTAGCAAGCGGCGCATTTGCCCCACTTCCAGTCTCTCCCCTCCTGCCAGCCACCTTTGCTCTGCTGCTTCCCTTTCCTCTTTCCTGGGCATCAGCTTCAAACTATTATTTATTACTATATATCAGGGGTCTTCAAACTTTTTAAACGGGGGGGGGGGGAGAGATTACTGTCACAGCATGGGTAAGAGTCTTAATATAACAGCAGGAAATTCATGAATATGTTTACTGATCAGCCGATCAGCCGAACTATCAGGAATGTGGCCTCACATAACCCAGCTTTTTCCACACAGCCAAAGCACAAAATCCCCCAAAACGTGCTTTAAACTGGATTATATGGCAGTGTGGCCTCACATAACCCAGCTTTCCACACAGCCATATAACTCAGAATCTCAAAGCACAAAATCCCCCAAAACGTGCTTTAAACTGGATTATATGGCAGTGTGGCCTCACATAACCCAGCTTTTTCCACACAGCCATATAACTCAGAATCTCAAAGCACAAAATCCCCCAAAACAGGCTTTAAACTGGATTATATGGCAGTGTGGCCTCACATAACCCAGCTTTTTCCACACAGCCATATATCAAGCACAAAATCCCCCAAAACGGGCTTTAAACTGGATTATATGGCAGTGTGGCCTCACATAACCCAGCTTTTTCCACACAGCCAAAGCACAAAATCCCCCAAAACGGGCTTTAAACTGGATTATATGGCAGTGTGGCCTCACATAACCCAGCTTTTTCCACACAGCCCTATAACTCAGAATCTCAAAGCCCAAAATCCCCCAAAACGGGCTTTAAACTGGATTATATGGCAGTGTGGCCTCACATAACCCAGCTTTTTCCACACAGCCCTATAACTCAGAATCTCAAAGCCCAAAATCCCCCAAAACGGGCTTTAAACTGGATTATATGGCAGTGTGGCCTCACATAACCCAGCTTTTTCCACACAGCCAAAGCACAAAATCCCCCAAAACGGGCTTTAAACTGGATTATATGGCAGTGTGGCCTCACATAACCCAGCTTTTTCCACACAGCCAAAGCACAAAATCCCCCAAAACGGGCTTTAAACTGGATTATATGGCAGTGTGGCCTCACATAACCCAGCTTTTTCCACACAGCCCTATAACTCAGAATCTCAAAGCCCAAAATCCCCCAAAACGGGCTTTAAACTGGATTATATGGCAGTGTGGCCTCACATAACCCAGCTTTTTCCACACAGCCCTATAACTCAGAATCTCAAAGCCCAAAATCCCCCAAAACGGGCTTTAAACTGGATTATATGGCAGTGTGGCCTCACATAACCCAGCTTTTTCCACACAGCCCTATAACTCAGAATCTCAAAGCCCAAAATCCCCCAAAACGGGCTTTAAACTGGATTATATGGCAGTGTGGCCTCACATAACCCAGCTTTTTCCACACAGCCCTATAACTCAGAATCTCAAAGCCCAAAATCCCCCAAAACGGGCTTTAAACTGGATTATATGGCAGTGTGGCCTCACATAACCCAGCTTTTTCCACACAGCCCATATAACTCAGAATCTCAAAGCACAAAATCCCCCAAAACGGGCTTTAAACTGGATTATATGGCAGTGTGGCCTCACATAACCCAGCTTTTTCCACACAGCCCTATAACTCAGAATCTCAAAGCCCAAAATCCCCCAAAACGGGCTTTAAACTGGATTATATGGCAGTGTGGCCTCACATAACCCAGCTTTTTCCACACAGCCCTATAACTCAGAATCTCAAAGCCCAAAATCCCCCAAAACGGGCTTTAAACTGGATTATATGGCAGTGTGGCCTCACATAACCCAGCTTTTTCCACAGCCATATAACTCAGAATCCTGTAGCCAGCTGGAGGAGAAGAATCAGGAGGAGGAGGAGGATTAGGAGGAACAGCTTAATTATAATATAGTATAATAATATAATATAATATATATTATAATATATTATATATAATATAATATACAATAATAATATAATATTATTGTATATTATATTATGTTATTATATTATATTATTATTATATTATATTATATTATTATTATATTATATTATATTATATTATAATTGTATATATTATATTATAATATATCATATTATATCTATATAATATGTCCCAAGACCACAGCATGTCCAAAAGCAGAAGATTAAGTCAGAAGGAAACATCCAAAAACAATCCGAAGTAAGAATCCAGTCTTTAAACCGGTTTGAAACGGTTTAATGTAATATAATGTAATATAATAATAATATAATATAATATACAATAATAATATACTATAATAATATTATATTATATTATTATAATATATTATTATTGTATATTATATTATATTATGTTATTATATATTATATTACTATATTATATTATTATATTATATTATATTATTATTGTATATTGTATTATATTAATATAATTGTATATTAAAGCACCCCTGACTGGTCCATCCATTCTTAATAATATAATATTATATTATATTATATTACATTACATTATATTATATTATAATAGAATAGTTTTAAGCTGCTGGCCAAGGAAGACTTTTAGCTGGGTTGAGACAAGCCGTTTCAAAGCGGTTTAAAGACTGGATTCTTACATCGGATTGTTTTTGGATGGACATTTCATTCTGACTTAATCTTCTGCTTTTGGGCATGCTGTGGGCTTGGGACAGTTTTTTGAGAACACTTTTCCTTGCTTCCACCCAATGTTTTCTAACCCTGTGATTCTGAAGCAGTTTGCTTGAACTGCTCTTATCCCAGATTATATACAGGATAATCTGGATTATTTGCTAAATTATGTTTTTGGCACAGCAATTTGCTACAGACTTTAGTTCTTGATACTAGAAGTAGATCACTAAATTAAGTGCTTCTAGCTATTTTTGTTGTTATAATAATAATATAATAATATATAATATAATATAATATAATAATATATAATATAATATAATATAATACAATATAATATGTATAATATATTATAATATATAATATAATATACAATAATAATATAATATAATATTATTATTATTATTATAATATAATATAATAATATATATAATATAATATACAATAATAATACAATATAATATAATAATAATATAATATACAATAATATAATATAATAATATATAATATAATATAATAATATATAATATAAATATAGTTGTTGTTTGTTTTGTCACACCAACAGTCAACAACAGAGGGAGGGGGAAGCTTCAGAAGTTCCCCCTGTCCCGTTTGGAGGTTTTTTTTAGCATATTCCGCAATCACGCCCGCCATTAGCGAATCGATTCGTTAATATTAACGAAATTTCATAAATATCGAACTTTTTTAAAGGAAAATTTTGTAATTATTTTAAATAACAAAACGCAAAACCCCCCAAAAAACGAATCGATTTTAGAAACAAATTTTTCCGTTGTTACCCAGGCCTAGTGCTTATGTGTGTCTTTTAACTAATGGAAGACTTTGGAGGCCTTGCGTAGGAGGTAGAACATGAAACTGACAGGAGGCCTGTTGGAAAAATGAATATTCCAGTCCTTCATGTGGTTTTGCCTTTGGTTTTTAAGAAAGGTTAGAACAATCTGCCACCTGGTGACTGAAGATAGTATTGCAGGTAACAAAATACAGCAGAGTCTCGCTTATCCAACCTTTGCTCATCCAACGTTCTATATTATTCAACACAGTCTGCCTCCCGCCTGGATCCAAAGCTGTTTCAATACATTGCAATGTTTTGCTGCTTAATTTGTAAAGTTAGTAATTACTACATAACATTACTGTGTACTGAACTGCTTTTTCTGTCGATTTGTTGTAAAACATGATGTTTTGGTGCTTAATTTGTAAAATTATATAGTAATTTGACACTTATCAGGCTTTTCCTTAATTCCTCCTTATTATCCAATATTTTTGCTTATCCAACATTCTGCAAGCCCATTTATGTTGGATAAGCAAGATTCTACTGTAGTGTAATTAAATATAGCAACAACAAAATGGGAGATGCCTGGCTCGAGAGCAGAACGTGTGAAAAAGATATTGGAGTCCTCGTGGACAACAAGTTAAACATGAGCCAACAATGTGATGCGGCGCCAAAAAAAGCCAATGGGATTTTGGCCTGCATCAATAGGAGTATAGTGTCTAGATCCAGGGAAGTCATGCTACCCCTCTCTTCTGCCTTGGTTAGATCACACCCGGAATCACCAATTCTGGACACCACAATTGAAGAGAGATGTTGATAAGCTGGAATGTGTCCAGAGGAGGGCAACTAAAATGATCAAGGGTCTGGAGAACAAGCCCTATGAGGAGTGGCTTAAAAAGCTGGGCATGTTTAGCCTGAAGAGGAGAAGGCTGAGAGACATGATAGCCATGTATAAATATGTGAGAGGAAGTCATAGGGAGGAGGGAGCAAGCTTGTTTTCTGCTTTCCTAGAGACAGAACAATGGCTTCAAATTACAAGAAAGGAGATTCCACCTGAATATTAGTAAGAACTTCCTAACTGTGAGAGCTATTCAGCAGTGGAACTCTCTGCCCTGGAGTGTGGTGTAGGCTCATTCTTTGGAGGTTTTTAAGGAGAGGCTGGATGGCCATCTGTCCGGGGGTGCTTTGAATGCAATTTTCCTGCTTCTTGGCAGAATAGGGTTGGACTGGATGGCCCATGAGATCTCTCTCAACTCTATGATTCTATGAAAATATATGTATAAAATACATTGTATTAAAATACACAAAACAAACATTCAAATACAGTAATCACAACACATGGGTTTAAAACTGACTGGGTAGGCCTGCGAGAAGATGTATTTTTTAGTAAATTAATTAGTTTTGGATTTACATAAATCTCTGTTGGTCTGTACATTAGTATATACATCAACCTTTGTTGGTCTGGAGCTGTGGCAGACACACACACATGTGAGAATTGATTCACGAAGAATATAACATTATTAACATGTGTGATTTTCTTCTAAGCTGCTGCCTGACAGGTAACTGCTGTTGTTGTTTCTACCAAAAGCTGGCAAACCTTCCCCTCCCCCCCCAATTTTTAAATTTACTTTTGTAACAGTTAGAAACAGAACTAAAGAAAACAACAATATTTATACATATACAAGGTGTCCCCTGCCACGCGTTGCTGTGGCCCAGTCTGTTGATTTGGAAAATAAAGTAAAGTAAAGTATTGGTTTCTAATATATGTAATTTCTTTATGCTTTTTCAGTTTCTTTGTCAGTGTTGATGTGGAGATTGTCAGGTTTGCCTACTCTGGAACATGCAACATAGAATTTTCTTTCTTTAGGGGTCCTTTCCAAATCTTTGATACTATATCTCTCTGTGTGTGAATAATATCTCTCTCTCTCTATCTATCTATCTATCTATCTATCTATGGTTGGATGGCTCTTTGTCAGGAGGACTTTGATTAATTTTCTTGCCTTGATGGATTGGATGAACTTACATATTTTCTGTTGGTCATGGGTGTTCTGTGTGGGAAGTTTGCCCCGATTCTGTCGTTCGTGGGGTTCAGAATGCTCTTTGATTGTAGGTGAACTGTGAATCCCAGTGACCAGGCATGTACCCGGGGGGGGGGGGGCCTCGGGGGGCTTCAGCCCCCCCCCCAAAAAATTTCATGGTGGTTCACGAAAAGGCCTTACTGGTGCATTATTTAAACTGTTATGTTTATTCATATCATGATCTGATCACCATACTCAATATATCCCATATGCATGGGGGTATTGGGGTAATGATACAAAAGGTTTACTAGGCTAGACCCTCTTTCACTCAGACTCAGCCCCCCCGAAACTCAGCCCCCCGAAACCCCCCCTGAAAAAAAATCAGCCCCCCCCCGAAACACGAAATCCTGGCTACAGGCCTGCCAGTGACTACAACTCCCAAATGTCAAGGTCTATTTCCCCCAAACTCCTTCTGTGTTCATATTTGGGCATATTGAGTGCTTGTGCCAAGTTTGGTCCAGATCCATCATTGTTTGAGTCCACAGTGCTCTCTGGATGTAGGTGAACTACAACTCCCAAACTCAAGGCCAATGCCCACCAAACCTTTCCAGTATTTTCTGTTGGTCATGGGAGTTTGTGTGCCAAGTTTGGTTCAATTCCATCATTGATGGAGTTCAGAATGCTCTTTGATTGTAGGTGAACTATAAATCCCAGCAACTACAACTCCCAAATGACAAAATCATAATTTTTTGAGTGATGGTCACTCCTTGTGTTGTGAGAAATTTGTCAGACTACATACAACTTCCAAATACATTCATAAATCAGTTTTAAAGGTTGTTAAATTTCCACGAAAGCACTGGCTCCTACCTTTTCTGGTTTTGTTTGTCTCCAGCCCTTGGTTACTTCTTTTCTCCCTTCTCTCTTACTTCTCCTCTCTCAGGGAACCTATGTCTATCCCGTGCTCAACTCTGTGCATTATGACAAGCAGCACCATGCCAACCCCGAAGAGTTTGACCCTGGGAGATTCCTCGACAGCAACGGTTGCCTTAAGAAAGTGGAGGCTTTTATGCCTTTCTCAGCAGGTGTGTATTAGAACAGTGGTGATGGGGTGTGTGTAAATGGCATGGCAAGGTGGAGTACAGGTGGTGTAGGAGAAGGCTTGACTTGCCAACGTCTTGGCTGTGGCACCTTTTCCTAGAAGTTTGATTAGCATCAATGTTGATTTCTTTTTGGTGTCAAGTCAAGACATAGCTTTTAATTAATACCTTAAAGATTTCATTAACTTCACCCTGATTCTACACTGCAATCAGCATTATGTAACATTATGCTTACAGTGGGGCCAAGGTATCTGTTGGCTTAGGATCAAGGGATTCAACTCAACTTAGATTCAAAGCAAGAGGTAGTGGCAATTCCTACCAGGTGTGCATTTATTTGGACTCCAGCACCTCTGGCAGTTGCCTGTTTCTGCCTTGTGAAGGAATTTATTTACTTATTTATTTACTATATTTGTATACCGCTCTTCTCAGCCCTCAGGGCGACTCAGAGCGGTTAACGAAGCAAATACAATACTTAAACATGATAAAAAACAGTTAAAAACAAGTTAAAAAATAACATTATAACAATCAATAAACATCATAACATCTCATCTCGTCTCATAGTTAAAATCAAGATCCAGTCTCATCATCCAAATGTTCCATATTTCTATATTAGTTACACTGCCTATTCAAATGCCTGCTCAAACAACCAGGTCTTCACTTTCCTCTGAAATGTGAACAGAGAGGGGGCTGATCTAATTTCTGTGGGAAGGGCATTCCACAGCCTAGGGGCCACCACTGAGAAGGCCCTGTCTCTCGTCCCCGCCAACCGTATTTGTGATGCAGGCGGGACCGAGAGCAGGGCCTCCCCAGACGATCTTAATGTCCTAGCTGGTTCATAGGAGGAGATACGTTCAGACAGGTAAGTTGGGCCAGAACCTTTTAGGGCTTTATAGGCTAAGGCCAGCACTTTGAATTGTGCCCGGTAGCAAACTGGCAGCCAGTGGAGCTGGTGCAACAGAGGAGTTGTATGCTCCCTGAGTGTTCCTGTTAGTAACCTGGCTGCCAAGCGTTGGACCATTTTGAAGCTTCTGGACAGTCTTCAAAGACAACCCCACGTAGAGAGTGTTGCAGTAGTCTGTATGGGATGTAACCAGAGCCTGGACTACTGTGGCCAAGTCAGACTTCCCAGGGTACGGGCGCAGCTGGCAGAATGAGCAGAAGCATAGCAACTGCTGCCTTGAAAGTAGAATTGGAAACCAAGCAGGAGGTGGGGAGCTTGAAGACAGTGTGCTTGGTGGCCAGGGCTTGCTGCTACTACTGCTGCTCTACTTCATTTTATTAAATGCCCTACTCCAGCATCTGCAGTGTTTGTTTGTTATCTGCATAGCATCCTGGAACCAAATCTCCATGGATAGTGATGGTCCACTGTACGTAAGTGTCTACCAAAGGTGCTAATCAAACTTCCCAGGGAATTGTGAACACATGTGTAGGAGAACCAACAAGGGTTGTTCTATGGACATCAAGCATGCACTAGCCGATCATTGCATTTGGTGCATATCAACATCCACTGCACATCAGTCCCTATGTGCAATGGTCACTTTACTGGCTCCCTTATGTTCTGACATCATCAGGGGTTCTGGAGGTTGTTGCAGAAGATGTATCATTTCTATGCACTACGCAGTGGGTAACGTGGGATCGATTCATGACGTGACTTAGAGTTTTCCAATCACAACCTCACTGAAACTGCTGCACCCTGGACAAGCAAGTGTCAGAGAGGCAAACAAAACCTAGCAGAGTGCATTCATAGTAAAAACTGGGTTGTTTGAGGTTTTTAGGGCTATATGGCTATGTTCTGGAAGCATTCTCTCCTGATGTTTTGCCTGCATCTATGGCAGGCATCCTGGTATCTAGGAAAATTGGATTTATATATCTGTAGAATGTCCAGGGTAGGAAAAAGAACTCTTGTCTGTTTTGGGCAGGTGTGAATGTTTCAATTAGGGGCAGTGAATCACCTCTCGACAAAGGATTCCCCCAGGCAGTAACAAGCCACACCTAAAAACTGTTAGGCCATCAAATGCTAAAGAAAGTGGCCAATTCAAACAACATCTGAGGATGCCTGCCATAGATGTAGGCGAAATGTCAGGAGAGAATGCTTCTAGAACATGGCCATATAGCCAAAAGAACCTGCAACATCCCAGTGATTCTGGCCATGAAAGCCTTCGACAGTACACAGCAAAAAACGTTTTAGTCAGTTAATCAGCTTGTCAGTCAGCAATGTCTGACCTTCTCCACACACTGTTTAGTAAACTCAAAAATTTGGGTTTTCATCAAAAAATATCAGGAGGCTTTAATCTTCACCATTACACTATTCACAGATGTACAATCAGGGTATACAGATCCACAATCAGATTTGTACTTTCTAATGATTCTTAGAGACAGAGAGATGTTCACGATGAGATTCACACAGGAAGAGAGAGATTGAGAGATTTCATCTCCCTTTTGCAACCACCTGCTGACTTGTCATCAGTAAGGGACAAATAACAACAAAAACAACAACAATAATAATAATAATAATAATAATAATCATCATCATCATCATCATCACACTTTATTTATATTCCACCCTTCTTGCCCCGAAGGGGACTCAGGGTGGATCATAGTACACATACATGGCAAACATTCAGTGCCGTTTTGTATAGACAATACAAAACAAGACAGACAGAATAGAAGGAGGTGTGTTGATGTTTTGACTCAATGTCCAACTTTTTTGGTGCCATGGAAGGTTGAGCTAAAATCGAGCCACAGGGGGTGCAGTCACTCCATCCTCTATGACGAAGAGCTATCAGGACTTCCTCTTTCCTTTTGGTCGCCCAGCGTTTTCTGATCTTCTTTCTTTATGGTGTCGTAAGACACCTCCCCAGCTTTTAGCGGTACATATTTTCTCTAATTACAGCTAAAGCTGTTTTTGAACTCGGGGCTTCAAACTTGTAACCTTTGGTTGATAAATCTTATAAATACTAGTGACTTACTAGCTGTGCTAAAACCCTGGCCCCATGATTATGATGTGGCCATTTCTGTATGTCCTTTAGGTATTTCATAATGATTTTCTCAATCATTCCCCAGGTGTTATCATATGTCCATCAAAACTGTATTTTCACATAGATTCAATGCTGAAGCGTTTCTCTCTAGAGGAAAATCCAAGAGAAAAATCAACAGATCAGCTCCCTCTGGTGATATCTTCCTAACATTCTCTGATCTTAACTGAGAATCCAAATAGAAGTGACCAGTTTGACCATGAGTTCTCTTTTCCATTCATTTCCACCTGGCTCTACAGCTTTTGACTTCTCTTTGGCAGGGAAACGTGCGTGCATTGGTGAAGGACTGGCCCGCATGGAGCTCTTTCTCGTCTTCACCACCATTCTCCAAAGGTTCACCCTCACGTCCCCTGTGCCACCTGAGAAGATCAACATTGCTCCAGCTTCACGCAACATCATGAGCATCCCTGAACAATATCAGCTTTCCGTGGTCCCACGCCAGTAGACATCTCCCTTTTCTTGTAGCTACCAGAAGAATCCAATTTGTCTCCCAGAATGTATAGATTGACTCTGATTTTAATGTTTAAACAAATTGTAAAGTACAATTAGTTATACCAATAAAGTAATTTCGGTTGTATTATTCATTATTTTTGGAATATTATTAATGTTGCCCTCATTGCCCCAAAGTAAATAATAATAGGTGCATATAACTCATTATTTCAAGTTCTTGTTTTGGTTTTTGTAGCCAATGGTCATTTACATATGTTTGAGGAAGTTTATATCTGGTTTTGAAGCAGGAGTTGCTCCCACTCTATCCTGCTTTGGTCAGACCTCACCTGGATTATTGTGTCCATGGTTCAAAAGGAGGTGGGCAAGCTGAAATGTGTCCAGAGAAGGGCAGCCAAAATGATCAAAGGTTTGGAAGCCAAGCCCAATGAGGAGCACCTTTGAGAGCTGGAGATGTTTAGCATGGAGATAAGACGGCTGAAGGGGCATGATAGCCATGTTTAAATATTTGAAAAGATAACATATCGAGGAGGAAAAAAAGTTTGTTTTCTGCTTCTCTGGAGACTAGGACAAGGAGCAATGAGTTTAAATTGCAGGAAAAGAAATTGCAACTAAACTTTGGGAAAAACTTTGTTGTTCAGAACTGTTCAGCAGTGAAATATGTTTCCTGGGAGTCCAGTGGAGTCTCCTTTTCTGGAGGCTTTTAATCAGGGGCTGGATTTAGAAGTGCTTAGACTGGATGTTCCTGCATGGCAGGAGGTGTTGGACTAGATAGCCCTTGGGATCTTTTCCAACTCTATGATTCTATTTGGGGCCTAGAAAACATAGTATTGGGGGGACACATATGCCACACTCGGACCACCCTGGTCTGAAAAGTTGTATTTTTAAACTTGGGTGAATATAACCTGAATGCATGAAAATACATGGAAGACAGAACTCTTTTGAGTATGTACAGATTGCCTTTCCCTTAAAACTGAGAAACCAATGCTATCGACACCATGACCACCTCTGGGCTTTGGAGTGAGGGGTTTTTGAACAAATGGTCCTCAGTTCCCTCTGGTATTTTGCAATTTGCAAATTGTTCCTGTTGCTGAATACATATGTATATGGAGAGAAACTGTTTCTTGCATTAACCCCTGCTTGACAAACAAGGGGTGTACTGTCCAATCAGTCATCAACCACAATTAATATATCTGGCAGTGCTCAACCAGGTATGTGGAATTAAAAGCACCTGTTTCCGATACTAACAGAAGAATTTGTGAAGGAATACTTTGAAGCTGCCTAATGTGAGCAACAACGGGGGGATTCACCAGGCAGCATGGCAAATTCAGTGGGCAGCAGTGGAATCTATCGCCACGCACCCAGCAGTGCCTACATCACCGTCTTCCCAATCACATGGGGGAAAGCGTCACTGCCCAGCTTCCCCCTGCATTTGCCCCATTGCTAGTAATGAGAATACAGGAAGCCTCCCATGTTCTCCTTGCCTCTTTTTAGGATGCATTCAGCATAGTTCAGGGAAGGAGCCCACCAGAATTAGTTCTATGCTGTTTGATGGGATCTAGTAGGCTCTGTCCCCAAACTGTGCTGGATGCATCCTAAAAAGAGGCAAGGAGAACACGGGAGGGCCATGTGATGAAGTGGAAAATTCTGGGTAAGGGATGTTCAGTTTTTATTATTAACACACGAATGACCTTATCACAAAGGCCAGGTGAAGTGCCCAGCTTCGCTGAAATTATAGAGTCAGCAGGGTGAATCTGTTGTCCTGCCTGCTGCTGCCCCACAGCGACACTTCCACCATCACATGTGGGAAGCACTGCCCTTGTGGCAAGGATCCATGCTTGTGTTGTATCCCAGAGCAGGAACACCTCTATCCTGAAACACCACACTGGTGTAGTAAAATCAGCAAGCAGTTTATTGAAGGATATATGTAAGCAAAACAATAAAAATGATAGAGACAGTATTATCCAAAACAGTATTTTTCAAAGAGTGCAAATTGTCCATGATATATGAAAACACCAAAAGACAAGACAGCATGAAGGTCTAATACCCAGAACAGGAACCTGGCAAAACTTGAAACATGAAACTAGAAATCCACTTGGGAACAAGACCATCATGAAAATCCAACATTGATGAGACTGAGCTAAAATCATTTCCCCATTTCATATAAAGCTTTTCCTATCCAATGAAAAGAAAGAAAAGCATTTATTTTGCCTTTATTACTAGACATGAATTTCTTATCTCTCTTTTTGAGCAGGCGGGCTAACCTTCAATGCTCTTGGGAACTTTGTCTTAGTTTACAACAGTCTTGTTTTCTATCTTCAAACTCATTAAATTCTGTACCTGACAAATCATTCCCAGAAGACACATTCTCAGATGAAGACTGCTGTGAGCCTCTTTCAGGAATTTGCCCTTGGGAATCTACAGAAGAAGCACTCCGTTCATGAGAAACCTTGGGCCCCTCAGCAAGGCCTGGGATTGACTCAGGCCCAGAAAAACCCTCACCCCCAATGACATTTGACACAAGCCCAGGAAAACCATCTTCCCCATTGACATCAGACACAGTCACAGGCTGAACTACAACAGCTGGTTCCATTGGTAGGCTCCTGTGTTGGGAGGGAAGCATTGTATGATGATTCCACTCCATTTGTGGATGGGGTGCCTGCTAGAAGTCCAGCAATGTCATGGGATGGGCAGCATGCCCATCCGTTGCTGGACTGGTGGGGAAGAGAGGGGCAGAGAAAACAATGCCATCTTGTCTTCAGTGTCATCAGTTGGGAGCCCCTCCTCCCAACACCAACTGTTGCTCTGGGACCAGAGTAAAGAGAGGGGCCATGAAGACAGTGCCATCTTGTCTTCAGTGTCATCAGTTGAGAACCCCTCCTCCCAACACCAACTGCTGCTCTGGGACCAGAGTAAAAAGAGGGGCCAAGAAGACAGTGCCATCTTTTCTTCAGTATTATCAGTTGGGAGTCCAGACCAACACCACCTGCTAGTCTGGGACCAGAGTAAAAAGAGGGGTCCAGGAAGATATTGGATTTATTTTATTTATTGTCTTGTATATTACTTGCAAGCCGCTCTGTGTCCCCTTCAGGGTGAGAATGGCGGCATATAAATGTCATAAATAAATACATAATAAATAAAGCATCCTAGAACACTTCCCAAGCCCCATTTGAAGAGGTGGTTAGATTTGCATCATGTACACAAGTATAGGTTAACTTTATGCTTATGTGTGTTTCTTTCTGGTCAGTCCATAGGTTGGTATATCCACTTCTATCCAAAGCAACCAATGCCTGCTCCAACCTACTATTAGTTGGGGTGTTGTGTTGTTTCAGGGCTGTAAGATCATGTTCTAGCAGATTTTCTCTTGTTAACACCTGTATCTGTGGCTGGCATTTTCAGAGGACGTGAAGATCTCCTGAAGATGTCAGCCACAGATGCAAGTGAAACACCAGGAGAAAAAGATCCTCTGAAGATGCCAGCCACAGACACAGGTGAAAGGTGAGGAGAAAATGCTGCTAGAACACAGTCATACAGCCCGGAAACCATACAACACCCCAATGATTACGGCCGTGAAAGCCTTCAACACCACTTTAAGTTCTGTAGCTTCAGGCACAACCCTGGGGAATTTTTTTACAATTCTTCTGATTCATCCTGGAAAGAAGTGACGAGCGGAGTGCCGCTGGGTTCCGTCCTGGGCCCGGTCCTGTTGAACATCTTTATAAATGACTTAGATGAAGGGTTAGAAGGCAGGATCTTCAAGTTGGCAGATGACACCAAATTGGGAGGGATAGCCAATACTCCAGAAGACAGGAGCAGAATTCAAAACGATCTTAACAGATTAGAGAGATGAATGGCTAAAACTAACAAAATGAAGTTCAACAGTGACAAATGCAAGAAACTCCACTTAGGCAGAAAAAACGAAATACAAAGATACAGAATGGAGGATGCCTGGCTCGAGAGCAGTACGTGTGAAAAAGATCTTGGAGTCCTCGTGCACAACAACTTAAACATGAGCCAACAATGTGATCTGGTGGCAAAAAAAAGCCAATGGGATTTGGGTCTGCATCAATAGGAGTATAGTGTCTAGATCCAGGGAAGTCATGCCAAAGCTTTTGTTCTGAAGAGTGACTCATGCTACAAAATCCTCCAGTTTGTTTGAGAAAAGAGGGAGAAGGGGAGGCTGAAACTCCTGAAGGAAGAAGTTACTGGATAACCAAAGAGGGTCTGCCCTGGGATTCTAAATACATATGTTAGCCTTGCAATCTTCCAGAAAGCTTAAGCAGATCTGTTGCTGAGAAGGTAACCCTCCAAAGACACCCATGGTCACTATATTTCTCCTTGTGTTCCTCTTTGTCAGTTGCATCTTTCTCTTGTCATGGAAGAGCAGAAGAGTCAATGCTCTCCTGCCCCCTGGGCCCACCCCACTTCCAATCCTGGGGAACATTCTACAACTGGACCAAGGGAGTCAGTTGAAGACCTTCACCAAGGTGAGTCTCAATTCTTCCATCTTTCTTCTCTCAGATGAGGGGGACAAATGGTTACTTGTAGACCATGGGTTACTTTATAGGGGATTTCTGTCTTTCTCTTGGCAGATGAGTGAGGTCTATGGGCCGGTGTTCACTGTGTACCTGGGAATGCAGCGGATTGTGGTTTTGTATGGCTATGACACTGTGAGAGAGGCCTTGGTGGATCATGCAGAGGCGTTTGGAGGACGTGGGCAGTTTCCGGCCTTCTCCAGGTTTCTCAATGAACGTGGTGAGGACATACTCTACAAGTTCCCTGATTGGAAATGACCCCAATTAATTAGAATAATAGAATCATAGAGTTGGAAGAGATCTCATGGCTATCCAGTCCAACCTCCTGCAAGAAGCAGGAGTAATGCATTCAAAGCATCCCTGACAGATGGCCATCCAGCCTCTGTTTAAAAGCTTCCAAAGGAGGAGCCTCCACCACACTCCGGGGCAGAGAGTTCCACTGCTGAATAGCTCTCACAGTCAAGAAGCTCTTCCTAATGTTCAGATGGAATCTCCTTTCTTGTAGTTTGAAGCCATTGCTCCGTGTCCTAGTCTCCAGGGCAGCAGAAAACAAGCTTGCTCCCTCCTGCCTGTGAGTTCCTCTC